AGATGTCTGAGCTTGAGATGGATTGAGTATATTTAAGTTAAGATTGAGGTCTATATGGAAATTCCTGTCTGGATTCCTTTGCTCAAAGTCATGTTTGATGTCTGCCGACTCTATTTATGTGACCTCGTTTATGTGCATTCCAGTGATCATTAACAAAGGCAACTTGGTGGAAATCTGTGATGAAAGTGGATTTTCAAATGGCTGTATCAGCTGCCACTTCAGCAAGACTGCCATTGCAGTCGTGCATTGAGTGAAAACCCTTGTGTCATCAGTTTGTGTTCAGCCAGCCTTATATGGAGAGAAGAGGCAGGTTAGCCAATCATGCATAAGCAGGGAAACAGCGTTAGCATGGATTTCATTCGGACAAGGCTTGCAATGCTGTGTGTGAACAGGGAACTTACCAGGCCTGTTCATCAATGCACAATTGGTGAGTTAAGACTTAAGCAAAGACAAGTTGGATGTAGAATCTTCATAACAACTTACTTCTCAGTTCCTGTGGTCCCCTCTTCGTTTGGTTTCTGCTCGCCATTTTGGAGACCTCGAGGACGAGGGAGAGGTGGTAAAACAGCAATCAGCTTCGTGCTGCTGGCTTCGCTGAGAAGGGAATGAAAGGATCCCTCCTGCGTGATCTTCTTTCACTTGGTGTCATGAGACTAGACTCAGGGCCAAAGTTCAGGGCCAAACTCAAGGCCTAGTGAAAGGATCGGATTGGTACTGAAGTAAGAGCTCCTGCTTGAAGTCGGAGGCTGGCATGATTGGGGTTACCTCATCCGGGAGGGTCCTTCTCCTTGTTCTTTGAAGTTTGTGGAAGGGGTGTACCTCAGTAGTTAGGAATGTCAAAGAATTCAAAGCCTCACAATATATAATTCAGTGTTTGTGAGATCCTGGGAGAATTTACTTCACCTTTCTGTATCTTCATTTCCTCGTCTGCAACATAGGGAATATCGTAATTCTTACTTGTAAGAATTATGTAAATAAATATATATATATATATTCATAAGTACATGAATGGATCATTCTCATAAAGCACTAACATGCTAGCCACTCAGAGCACCTGTTCTGGACAGATCCGTCGCCATTTTGCCCCTGTCCATCCTCGAGCTCCTCGCCCCTCCCTTGCTGGGGTCTCAGGAGAGAAAATAGCCTGTGAAGTGGAACACTGCCATTGTCATTTCAGAGATGTGCTGGGCCCCAAAGGGAACAGAGGAGCTTTTTTCTGTGTTACAGGAACAAAGCACAGTGCTTCAGTCTGTGGAAATGTTCGGGAGCAACACCCAAGTGGATGGTATGGGTGGTGGTTTAGAGCTCAGGGATGAGGTTCACTGGCCTCTTTTCAAATGCTCTGTAGTTTAGAAGCTGGATTCGCGAACTCCTTGTAGATCAGTTTTCAAATATGTAAAATGGGAGCCCTATTCATTTAACACTCAGAGATAATCTAGAAGATTAGATGATACACTAAAAGCTCTTAGCATTCATGAGGTGAACTTGGTCCATATTTCAATTTTCCAACGTGAAACTGGAAACCCCACGGTAAATGTGTGCCCAGTCCAAGTGTCTCTGTTCACCCGCCTGCCTTCTCTCCTCTCAAACAGGCTGCTTCCATCGCCCCTTTTGCTGTACCAACTCCATTGTGTACATTCAAGTTTAAATAATCAATATTGAGGCAGGATTGTGACCCAGACACTGATAGAATTCATATATGTTAAACACTGGATATTCCAGATTCAGGCATTAACAAGAGGTACATATAATCCTGACTGTTCTCCATATTGAAACATTGAGAGCACTATTCTGCTTCTCATATGCTGGTTACATCTACCGGAGGAAGATGGCACAGGCCCTCAGACAGCCCCACATAGGGCAAGCTCTCAGCTCAAACTCACTCCGAGGAAAATGCTGGTAGGTGAAGAGAAGTGTTAGAATAAAATAGAACTCTCCTTCCTAGGGTATTATTTGGTAGGTGGATGTAAAATGATCTGATTATTCTAGGTGCATATTAAGGAGATTTTGTGTTTCTGGTATTGGTGGGAACTGGTTGGACAAAAGCTGAAAATCAAAGCAGAAACAAAACAACAACACCCGCACCCCAACCCCAAATAGTCAAAACAATAGTGTGCTAGTCCAGGTAGACAAGAGAAACAAATTCATGAATCCTGATATGTGGATAGGAAAGGGATTTACATACAAGGGCAATTGAGTATCGAGAAAACATCCCAGCCCAGTGCAGATGAAGTCCCTAAGTCCGATATTAGCCCATATGTTGGATACCAATCTATAAAGTTCTCTTTAGACTCATGAAACACATGCAATGATGCCAAATGCAGGAAGATCACAGGCTAGTGAGTGGGAAGTCTTGTGGATCCAGTGGAAATGAAGGGATCTCAGCACTGGCAGGGGTCTCCACGTGGCTTCTCCAGCTCCCAGGGCTCTGGCTGCATCAGGATAGGTTCATGCAGCTTCTTCTCAGGGATGTCTTGCAGGGAGTGACCAGAGAGAGAGAGTGTGTCTCCCACCTCAGGGAGGAAATAAAGGAATTCCCAGAATGCTCAGGAGAAGGGCATGCCCACAGAAAGGTCTCACTGGCTATGACCTGATTGACAGGCAATACCCTTCACTCTTAATCCTCTCAAATTGACAAACAATTATGTAACTACCACAAATAGAATGCAGAGTAAGTGAACAACTTCTTTTCTAACACATACACACATATATACAAACAACACATGGTTATTTACATATGACCTACATATGACACCGTGGCTGTAACTGTGTGCCCAAACATACCATTGTGAACATGACACAAGACCAGGCAGTGTTTCCTTCTTTCTTTCTTTTTTTAAAACCATTTTATCGGGGGCTCATGCAGCTTGTATCACAATCCATCCATCCATCCATTGTGGTCAAGCACATTTGTACATACGTTGCCATCAGCATTTTCAAAATATTTTCTTTCTACTTGAGCCCTTGGTGTCAGCTCTTCATTTTTACCCCCTCCCTTCCCATCCCTCCCTCCTCATGAAACCTTGATAATTTATAAATTATTATTATTTCGTCATGTCTTACACAGACCAATATCTTGCTTCACCCACTTTTCTGTCATCCATCCCCCAGGGATGGGCTTGTATGTAGATAATTGTGGTTGGTTCCCCCTTTCTCCCCACACCTCCCCCTTACTCTCCTGGTATTGCTACTCTCAATATTGGTCCTGAAGGGTTTATCTGCCCTGGATTCCCTGTGTTTCCAGCGCTCATCTGTACCCAGGTACATGCTCTGGTTTGTAAGGCAGAATTGGGGTCATGATAGTTGGGAGGAGGAAGCATTAAAGAACTAGAGGAAAGTTGTATGTTTCATCAGTGCTATAGTGCACCCTGACTGGCTCATCTCTTCCTTGTGACCCTTCTGTAAGGGGATGTCCAATTGTCTACAGATGAGCTCTGGGTCTCCACGCTGCACTCCCCCTCATTCACATCGATATGATTGTTTGTTCTGGATCTTTAATGAGCAGGCAGTGTTGCATTCTTTTGTACATAGGATTGCTACAAATCAGAACCTACTCAACAGTACCTGGTAACAGCAACAACACACAGAGATATTACATATTTCAAAAGAAGTACCTGATTGTCATAAATGGTTATCCACTAGCTGAAAGGCTGGTAGTTTGAGACATGCCTCAGAAAACCAGCCTGGGCATACATTTCTGAAAGAGTAGGACCCTGAAGACACTGTGAAGAACATTTCTGCTTTGGCATGCCTAGTCACTGGAAATTGGAATATCCTTGATGGGAGCTAATTGCAACTAGTCAAGACATCATATTTAAAAAAATAAAAGTTACTGCACTTAAAAAAACCCAAACACCTACATCAATTGGTGTTAGGGAACCTCTAGAGTAATAACAATTCACATGGCAGGTGTGGGAGAAAGCATTACTGGTTTATGTTCATTATCGAGAAGTGAGTGCTTGCTAAAGCTGAATTATGCAGGGCGGGGGGGGGGATTTGGAATTTTGTATTAGGTTCATGGAAACTGTATTTTAAAATAAAGTTGTGTCCAGAGAATCATGATCAGTTTATGAAGTCTTGTCATATGATGAATATTTTCAGGAAATGAATGTGTCAAAGAGAAGACTTTGGACTTCGGAGATGATGTATGATGATTATATTTAAATCTTTCAAGTGTACTGCGTGGTAAAGATGAGCAGTGATCAAGTCCCCAAAATGTGAAGCCTGAGCCAGTCCCTACCTTCCCACATTCCATTATAGTCATCCAGTTTCCCTAAGCCACCTGGAGTTATGCCAGCACACATATGTTAAAGAACAGTGGATAGGCAAGCTGAACCCCCAAATTTGGGGAGTCCATAAGACACCTGAACTTTCTGACCGACTGCCCACAAATGCGGGCCTGCTTTCCCACTATCCTTGCAGGATGTTGACCACAATCTTAGGAGTTCCCATAATATTCTAACTTTCTGCCCTGTTAGCTTCCCTTCTCTCTTGGGGTTCAATAATTCACTGGAACTGGCCACAGAACTCCCGGTGAGTATACCCTACTGATGACCGCTGCTTTATTACACTCTAAGATGAGGGGCTACCGCATAGGCTATGGTCTGGAAGGTTTGCAATGTGAGGCTGCAGTGGTTAAAGGGATGTACTACCCTTCCCAAAGCAGATAGTCTCTCCAACCAGGAAGTCTTTTGAGGCTCCACGTTCAGAGATTTTATTGGCTAGTCTTACATGAGAGGAATGAAGGGCTTTGGAAACTAGCTCAGATCATATTACTACTGTTAGTAATGTACCCTTATTTGTGAGTAGTGTTTGAGTTGTAGTCTAAAACCAAATACCACCAGGAAAAGAGTATCATGTTGTATTTCTAGTCAGCGTTCACAGTTATAATCAAAAGCATTCAGACACTTGGGTTGTAATCTCTTGTGTTCGCTCAAGGAGCGCTTGGGCTTTGATCGGTCACTGTTGATTCTCGATTGAGATCTGTATCTTTGTGGTAGGTCTTCCAGGTCGCATATGTCATCATCAAAGCTGCTAATTCCCCACGGCCTGGAAACTGGATTTTGGAGCGCTCTCTGGATGGGACCAAGTTCACACCCTGGCAGTACTATGCAATCAATGACTTGGAGTGTCTGACTCGTTACAACATAACCCCAAGACGGGGACCACCCACTTACAGGGAAGATGATGAAGTGATCTGCACCTCCTATTACTCTAGGCTGGTGCCCCTGGAGCATGGAGAGGTACTGTGCCCATTTGGTGGGGTGATTTTTCTACCAGAACTCCTCACCCTAATATTAGTCTAGCCATCATTAACCATTGAAAATGTGTCCTCTCACTACAGACTTTAACAATCCTCCCTGTAATTATCTCACTATATTGAAAGTATCATTGAATAGCGTCAACTAATGATTAATTTCGAAACCAATCAAGTTTACCTTACTGGTTTCTTCCTTAGAGGAGTGTGTTAGTCTGGGTACTTTAGAGAAACAAATCCACAGAAACTCATGTATAAGAGAGTGTTTTATATAAAGGTTAAGTGTGCATCAAGAAAACATCCCAACCCAGTGCTGCCCAAACCCACAAGTCCAACATTAACCCACTAACCC